AACACCTACGAAAGAATCTAGGACGATCCATTACTGGATCGCCGAAGGTCGAACCATGAAACTTTCATTACTCGCGAATCGAATAACCAAACCTGCCTGTAATTCTTCATATTCACGTCAAGCTTCAGCTTTTTAATTTGATAACAAATATTCTTTTAATTGATCGACTAATGGAACGTTGGAAGGGTAGAATCTCGATTGAAAATTTGACAGTGGCTTCTCACTCGTGTCTCTGTTTGAAAACTGGACAATTGAAGGAAAACGAAAAGATTTTCGGGCAAGTAAAACGGCAATTTATGTGCGGATGTCGCGTTGGCTGGTACGGCTCGCCCACCACTGCCACGTATCGTTTATATAAAATTCAGCCCACACGTGGCACGAGCCTCTTCGTCGCCTCGTTCTCATTGAACGTTAAACGCTCTTGACCCGCTGGCTAAGCAGCCCAGCCTCAACGGCTCGCCTTTCCTCCCGCTGTTTTAAATCCCCGCTCTGTAATTGAGATTTCCTACGATCGTTTCCATTCACCGTTCTCGCTTTTTCCGTAAACGCGTATGCGTCATCCGAATGGGAAATCGTTGTATAATTTAACAAAAGTACGGAGCACGTTCGCCGCAGGATCAACGGAAATCATTTGTTTGAGAAACGACTAGTACCTGACCATTGATAGACGCTACGTGCGCACGAGGTATTTTACGCCATTATCGGCGACTCGTGACAGCCAACTTTTAACAATCACGCTGTTGTCCTCGACGTAAGAAGCACTTTGTTAAAGTTTCTCGCGAATAGACCATTAGCCCGACCACCGAGCGTTCAGGATCTCGTAAAAACTTAAGGCGAGGGCCAACTGATCGGCTTTTCGTTCTGCCTTCCCATAACGAATTTACTTAAACACCCGACTAAACTGGTCCTCGTGGTCCTTAGAAAATTTCACGAAACTTTCACGAGGGACAGAATAAATCGAACTCGTTACGGACTTAATTCCAAACGCAATTAATCGCGATTTGAACTTTTGATGTTTGCTGACAAGAATGGTACGCGGATCGAAGAAATGAACATGAACGAGTGAAAAACTGCGAAATGGCCGAGAGGCAGCGGTTTTTGTGAAACCATTTTGTGGCACCACGAATAGGGGTGTCGCACCCTCGTCAGACGACAGTTTTTTCCTTGCCCGACGGTGATCTCGACACGACGGCGGCTCGTTTTAACGGCCAGACAATGAAGAAGAATGTAAAGTGGCGCGGTGGAGGTTCTTCCATTGCCTTTCTCGCAGTCGCATTGTTGCCCCGTCACAGCTTCGGGGTACGCTTAATCCAGCAGCCCCGCTGCGAATCAAAACCGTTCAATCAATCCCACGTGTTTCCAGTTTCCCTGGAACGTTTCCCTCATCGTCTAAGCTCTAAACACCGATCAATGGTGTTTACAAACCTGCCCATTATCTGATCTGAAATTATGATAAGGAAACTGTTACGCACCAAGATGAATATAGCAAAACAGAATAAAGTAAAATAATGTATAGCGACAATCTTTCGATTTTTTAAGCAATTTCTTTTTAAGAAACTGCTCGCACGTTTGTCAATCAGTATAATACTCGGTTAATAACGGCAATCGTAATTGCGTCGATTAATTAGGGGAGAATCGGAGCGTTTGCTCGGTCGGGGTAAACAAACGCTGACATTTGCCCCACTAATACTATCCCGATAATTCATGCGTCTCTATTCTCGATTCCACTGTCCCCGTTCCAATACCCAGATTAGGCGTTGTTGTTATTAGACGTTGCTCGTATTAAATAAAAAATCCACGACGATGTGAATGGGCAAACGCGAGTAAACTTGTTCTTACGTAAACCCATTGATACGACGCTAAACTTTTATTTTCTCCGAATCGATTCATTATTGATGCGCACAGTCAGAGACTCGTCATTGTTTTCCATTTAATGCGGTTTTCGCAATTCTCCGTTCCTTCTGTCATATTCTTTGCTCGCCCACTTATTTCAGAAAAAGGACGTACTTTGAAGAACGACCACGGCGAACGTATGGCTGAGATAAAAAATATCAAAGACCGTTTCCATGGTACAGTCACTGATATCCTCGCGAACGAAAGGCACGCGTTGTCCGTTCACGGAAGTAGGAGAGTGAGTAACGGCAACGAGCTACGCAACAACCTTTTACGATTTACGCGATCGCGGAACACGTGCGCTCTCCCGAAGAAAAACACGATTGCTGTTTTACAGTTACTAATCGAGATTGATTTTTGCGTTAATCAACCCTGCCCAAACAGCGCCAAGAACGTTCGATCAGTCGTCATACGATTGATCGAACATTTGTTACGCGAAATATTGTATAATATATTATATGTATATCTAGACGACAGCGTACGATGGAATGTGACATCGTCGGACTGCAGATTTTTATACAATTTAAAGAATGAATTATTTTTATCATCGCCATATGCATTACATTAAATTTTCTTAAAAATACATCGACGGTCTAACGGTCTAATAATAGAGAGGGGCGAGTCACGGATAAGCGGAAGTCGGCGTGAATCCCCGTTAGACGCCGGTTAGAATAATTATGACCGGCCACTTTAATGAATCGACGCTGATGAGAATCGATTTAACTCGTTACGAGTAAATACAGAGCGGGTTGTCCGTGAATCATATTCGTTCGACCGAACGCGACCCGCGTCTCTGTGTTCCCGGTAATTCTGTTTATTCATTCCGTGTGTCTAACCGAATCGTCGAAGATAGGTAAATGGAGTCGAACCGACTGAAAATCAATGACAGAGAAAGGGGGCAATGAACTACGGATTCTCAAATAGCTTTCGCGTCTCAGGGAAAGCGGAACGACGATTTGGGAAATGGAAATGGAAGTCGTTCATGCTACGTGACACATGCCCGCTGCTCGATGGCCATGCCGAAGAAACGCGTAATTGTGTTTGACGTAACACAGAGAGCCGCTTTGTACTCCGAATCCGGGAGTAAAGACAACGCGATGAAAACGAAAACTGTTTTCATGATAGAACGGCCGGAACCGGTGTTCTGGCAACGCGATCACCAATTTCGGATGTTATCGTTATCTGTAGTACTTTATTTCGCTGACTAGCTTGGCGAGCACGCTGCTAGCTTATCTAGCATGATAATCGGTACAATTGGCCTAGAGTTGATGACACGGTTTCGAAAGTTATAAAACTAACTTGTAAGTGTGTGCGTGTACACACCTCGTCAACTCTAAGAACCACTCGACCGTTTCGACGCCTTCGAGGAGGAGGATGGATTAATCATCGATTAGAGCCAACCGATCTTCGAGTGTATCCTCGTCTCGTCCCAATGAATCATACCAGACGTTCAACCTACGGAGCTTTCTCTGTCCCCACTCGCTTTTTGTTCTAATGCACCGAGCAACGTCTTCGTTTCTGTCGCTGGAGAAAGAAATGTGCGTGATAACGCGACGTCTACCAATGAGGTCCGTTAATTAGCTTATTGTTAGATCAAACCGCAATTGCGCGGAATGAGCGTACAAAAGCGCGTAGACTTCCTGTTCGTTATCGTTTACTATTCGCCCAGTCTCGTCGTCAACGTCGTTCGAAATAGTAACTTACTCGCATAGATTCTTTTGTTGCGCAAACGTAATTAACGCGTAGAAATTATGCAGAGACCGAAGGACAAAGACGTTATTGGATTCGTTGACAACTGACTGTAAATATGGCAGTCTCGTTATTATTTGTTGTCGGGAACAGACGCGAGGCGAAATGGAATAGGCGCTTTAATGGGTTTCCATAGAAGTAGTAAGGCGCGAAATCCATGCGGATGAACGGACCAGCTGTAAGCCAGCCTCAAGGACTCTCAACGATATACCTTCACGGCCTGGCGAGCGTTCTGAGAAGGACGAGAAAATAACGAGAGCCGTCGCGAATAATTAAATCGTTGTTGTTCCTCCTACCGCTAACTTTTTCTACTCTAAAAGCTCGTTCCTGCATTTAGGAAACGTAACGGAGGATATTGTCTCGCTGTGAAACCAGGACAAGGAATGAGATTCGTTAGCGTATATTGTTCCCGTATGCAATGAGCTTGTCACTCGGGGAAAACAATATCTTGCCAGCGTTTGCCACTTTTACGGGCACAACTGTGGCATTGCACCTCGCCGTATTTTTCTTTAAAATAATCAGTATTTCTTTCTCTCTACCTACAGTTTCGCTTGTTAATTACGGTTTTCTGAAAAAAGTTGATATAAGAGTATCGTACTGAAGTTGTATATATAGAGATAATACACTGGACGCACGCTTTCCGTGGTAAGTAAATGATCAAAGCAGAGTGCTCATAAATCGTAGATGCAATCACGGTATTAGCTACTTACGCTCGTAAATCTTCATCGACCCAGCTGAAGATCTGACTTATTCCTCAAGTCGCTACACTTTCGATACTAACCTTAAAAATAACAATTAGTCGGCCTCGTTGTCGGAAATTTATAGACTGCACACTACTCTCACGTTGTTCAATTATAAATTCGAAAACCAGTACATGTGCACGCGAACTCTCATTTAAATAATAAACGTCGAACTTCGGTCGAAGCAAGTTTTCGACTAAAGCAACGAAACAGCTTGCATATTTTACTTCTGTCCGAGAATTGGAAAATGCTCGTAGTGCAATGAATCTTATATGAGTATGAAGGCACAGGATAACTTTGTAAAGTGAGAGATGTAGACGCGCACGAAGTGCAGCATCGTAATATACACGCAATTGTCACGAAAGATATGTTACATTTAATATAACGATTCGATATGATTGATCGATGTATGAACGAGACCCGAAGTTAAAAACATTAGCTATTTTCGATACTCGAGACGCGTGAGGCGCTCGAAACAAATGCAAAGAGTGGGACGAGGTTGGAGTTTACCGCGCCATTGAAAAATGTCAAACAGCACGCGAACCCAGTCCGTGGTCTCCGTCTCGTTTTACGGAGAAACTTGAGAGAAAGAGAGATAAACGAATTTGGACAACTCACCGTAGGTCTCGGTGTACACGTCAGGCAGGATCGCGAGCAGCACCAAGACCAGCAGCACCAATTTACACCGCGCCGTCACACCAACGACGGCACTCCGCGGATTCGAGCACCAGGTATCACTCATGGTTCTCGGGCGGCGATATTCGCAATGCACCAAGCCTCACGCGAACGTCATGACAACTGCGGTTTATCGCACGTTTCGTTTACCGTTTGACTTTCGTGACACACACACCGCACGATACTAACCACCCAACACGACAAACCCGACTGCTCCGCTGGTGTACACGGTTGCGACTGCGACACGGAAGTCTCGTCGTCTCGACCTTCCATCGAACCTCCCGAACGTAGCCGAACTTCGCCGAACGCGAACAGCGCCAAATTCTTTTCGATTCAAACATGTTCATTCGTAGTTGTTGTCTCACGATACCGTTTTTATTAGTTTTTAATCGATGATAGTAATTATCTATCGAGCATTGATGAATATTGAATAGAAAAAAGGGAGAATGAATGCGTCGCGAAAATTAGCAGTGATTTTCTGTATCATGAATGTAACAATTTGTATGAAACAAAAATAAATGATTTTTCAATACGAATTCACAATCTTCTTTTATCACGTTAAACGGGTGTTGGATTCTCAAACTAAACGAGAGATTCCGGGATATCGATCAAACTGTACGGTGGAAACGCGATTGAGACGTTACAAGCCGTGTCCTGTTAACAACATGAAATCACAAAGACTGGAAAATGTACGAAGAGAGTTGGTGAAGAAAATAGTGGCCGAGTGCAAGGAACGCGAAGTAGAGACGGCCAAGGATATCGTTTCTTTCCTAGTACGTAAGAAATTTGAATTTTCCATTAACCTACGGAATCGGTCTGAGGAGATCGACTTTGTTCTAGCTGTCTTTACTTCAATTAAATCCCGCGTATGAAGTTAAACCGGACGATGAGGAGAGCAATGAAAAAATTGTTAAGGCCGTGACTGATAAAATATGCGATCAAGATAAGCCGAGTTTAACGGTGTTGAAAAGTCAATTATATTTTGCCAAACACTATCATGGCACGGGTAAGAACGAGTTTGAAACGTGCGGATAAACGCGCTGCGTTAAATTCACATTTGTTCTATTTGATTAGCTGAAACTGTTAAGCGGCATAGATTACGTTTGCATATGAAAACTGGACCGATGGTAGCAGAAATCTGTCAAACCGAAAAAATTGCCAATCTGCAGGAGGCTGAGAAGTTATATCAAAAGATGTTAGTGGTCATTACGATCCTAAGCGGTCTCGGAAATCCCACTGTACCTTCCGTACTCCGGTACGTGGACTTGATTGTTGGACTGCGGATTTCATTTTTAATCGAAGCTATTCGACATCGTATTTCTTAGGGAGGTTTCAGTAGCGTTGCAAAGCGTTTTTCAGCCCTCGGAATTGGAGCAATACGTGAAAATGTCTAAACGCGAGAAAGAGGAACAGCTGATGGAATTAATGTGCATAGTCGCGGGGATACGTTTGTTTAACAGAGATTGCCAACGCGGTGGCGAAGGCATCGATGATCGTTAGTATGATTTGTTAAGCGTTTAACAGTTTACTTCTAGCTAACGAGAAATTCTGCGTACAGTGCCGGGTATTTTGCAAAAGGCCGTGAAAAGAACTCACGAAACTATCATGGGATTTCTGACACAGTTAATGACCAAGATATACGGTTTTACTGCAGCCGTGGAAAAGATAAGTTACTTGAGGGAGATAATACCGTTCGGTGTCTTCACTGTTGAAAATGTGAACTGGGCAATTGAAATGCTGACGGCATGCCGGCAACAGGAGATCTACGTCAGGTTCAATCGCAATGATTCAATGCTAACTTAAAAAAATAATCGTACTGCATTGCAGGAAGCTGTTGAACGATGCCGAGTGCAGCGATAAACAAATACAAAGTCTGATGGAACGTCTTCAGGGACGTCTGTTCAAACTTCACGACACCGTCAGATACAGAATTGCCATTCCTACTGTCCAAGTATACGTAAGAGTTCGTTCCTTACTCCAACCGTATATTAATCAATTACAGTCTTGTTTTTCGACTTGTTCAGCCCCAATTCATCGATCTAGCCGATATCTGGATGGGACTCCAAGACGAAGTGGTTACGCTGAGCAGTATTAATAACTTCCTTTGGAAACTGGAAGGCCTAGGCGCGAGGGTAATAAAATTATTCGACGTTCCATTCGCGATCGATGAACTAAACTAGATTTTGAAACAGCATCTGGAGGTGTACAACGAAACGATATTAAATGATATGGTGGCTACTGAGAAGGTTCTTACGGATGCGGAGAGATTAGAACGGTCGATGGGAGAAACAATAAGTAAATAATATAACTGATCATAAATTTCGACTAATATTAATGCAAGCTCGACTCGTTTTCAGCCGAATGCGGAGAATGCATGATGTATTATCCCAACGAAACGAAGGACTTTGAGAATATAAATTTAGAAGTACGTTCGACTATTTTAAAGTTAGTTTCGATTAATCAATTTCCTATAGTTTTTAGGATTTTGCGCGTGGAGTTTCGTCGTTGGGAGGGGTGCGCTGATTCCGGGAAATCCGAACAACGGTGTCGCTAAATGGAAGGGAAAATATTACGTGTTCAGCTCTCGGATGGCATCCGAACAATTTGGCCAAGATCCTGACAGGTATTTCTTACAAATTCGTCGAGCCGCAAGGTTTGGAAGAAAAAAAATATTGTCGCAGGTACATTTATGATGCGTTCGACTTCATACGGAATCACATCGAATACGTGTACTTGTTTCAAGTGCGAGACGACGTACAGGCCTTACAAGCGCAGGAGGTGTAAGTATTAAATCTGAAAGATTCTAGTTGATTTTTGTAAAACGTGAATGCTGTCGATGAAGGCTGTCGGAAGAGGGGCCTCAGTTGAAAACGTGCCAACATCAAACGGTTCAAACGGATTTGCATATACTTCCACCGGTGATCGATCAGAATTATTCTTCGAACATGTGGGAACTGAGGAGTAAAGCGTTACACTTGGTGAGTGGTGTTAAACGACGATGAAAAGGGGAGAGAGAACTTTATTTGTTTCTTTTTTCCGTAGGCAAGCATAAGCAGATGCGTAACACGCAGCACACAAACGTACAAGTCCAATTTCAGATATGGTGTTTACGTACAAGTTGCTCCGCCCCGGGATAAAGAAGTTCAAACGAGAAGAGATAATTACATGAACACAAAGAAGCTGTTAACGTATATATTTGGCTTACGGGGAAGACGCGACGATAATCAACACGTGTTATCTTTCTTAGAAGACGAGCTCGAGCATTTGTAAAACTGCAAATGCGCGATAGATAAAGGACGATACTGGGGAGAGGAGCGTACGAGGATACCCGCCGACAAAATAAGGCTGAAAGCGACGTGTTTCTTGTCTTTTTTTAAAAAAAAAAAGCAATATGGTTTAATGAAATTCTCAGATACATCCACGGAGTAGATCAGGGTACAATCCGCACTTTACTTCCTTTAAAAGACAAATTGTTATTCCCTGTTTTCGAATGTCTCTCATAATTTTTCGTGTGGCTTCTATCAAGTTTAGGCCAGCGCAGTCCTATAATTTATATTCAAAATACACGAATTTTTTTTTCATACGGTGTATGAATATCCTCACCAACAGAATTTAAACTCCGTACCTCGCGTCATCAGCCTACCTTATTCTCTACTATTCAACACTGTGCGAGTGCTGCACATATTGTGACTTTTAATATGCATTCGTTACCTTCACTGAATACATTATTTTAGCATTAAGTCTTAGAGTTAGGTCAATTTTTTTACACCAAGAAACCTATATTACGACAATTAATTAGTAATTACACGATAATACAATTAAATTTCGCTTAGTTATAATGTCAGTGTATAATGTAACTATTATACAGAAGAGGTACAGGATGTTCAGTTTTTGTATCATTCTCTAAATTTCATTTTACCGTATGTTTTCTCTCCCTTTCTCTCTCCAATTTATTGCCATCCGTTGTCGAAAATCAATCAACATTAAAAATGCAACGAAAATATCGTAACGTTTCGGAGGCAGATCGCATTAGCAAAAGATCACGACGACATTGAAATTTCATTCAATCTTAAAGAGTCATAATTGTAAAATAGATCGTACTTAAAAACGAAAAAGTGAGAAGCTTATCTTGTTACTGCTCTAGGTTACTGCCACGACGGCACTCTGCATTTTCATAATATCGGCGAGAAAACAGCTATTTACGACATTCATAAAGCAAGTAAATGATAAAAAGTTAACCCTGAATCGACTTAAAACCAGCTTGACTATCGGCCATTCTAATGGTTTCCACGTGTCGTAAGATTGCCCGCCCGTCCATGGTACCGGCTCTTCCGCTTTCCGGACAGTGACCGGATCTACTTGTGGGTCATCATTAAGTGAAACGTTTTGGGCAGCAACGACGTGCCGCACTTCGAATAATGCCCATAAAATCAAGATGCTACTTGCCACGAACATTCAATGGGAGGGAGAAAGCAGCTACCATGGACAACAGAACTCGTCGGAATGGTGTAAACATGGCTAGAGTCTTAAGTCGCAAGAAATATGTTTGTGTCTGTATGTTTTGTATATCTATGTATGTATCGTGTGAGAAAGATGGAGAGATGCACGTTGCACCTTGGAATATGTTATACAATGTTTATAACTCGTGTCTCGAAGATGATTTAATCTATGAAGTGGTTTTTAAGGTATTTCATCATACCAAAAGTCCTGAAACGTTTTACTCCAATTACTTTTAACAATTCGTCATCGCAGATAGCGTACTGCTTATTCTTAGGGTCCTGTAAAACAACGAGAACGGATATTAAAGACAGGTGAACGATGTAACAATCAGAAGAACCGTATGAAGTCAACTTACATAAAGATTTCTCTCTTTGATAATACTCCAGATCTTCTTCACGACTTCGTGTCGAGCCATTTGTTCGGCTCCAACGACGGCAGCAAGTTCTGGAGACAATGTGATGGCACGGGTATAACCGCCTTTACCTTTACCTCCACTCGCTCCTCTCTTCGCTCCACCACCCTGAGCTTTCTTGTTCTTGCCCCAGTCTTCGTCACTGTCGCTGTCGCTGCCCTTCTTCTTCCCTTTTTTACCCGGTTTGCCTGTAACAACAGGAATGTATCGTCATTTAAAATAATCGGATCAAAAATATATCGGGTACTCTTGACGAGCACGAATTTTCACCTTTTTTGGGTGTAGCTTTTGCTTTTTTGGGACTATATTCTTCATCGCTTGCGTCATCATCGCTTGCACTCTCTTCGTCGTCTGACGATCCCTTTTTACGTTTATTTACTGGTTTTTTTGCCGGGCTTCTTTTCGCAGGCTTCTTTTCTTCCTCCTCCTCCTCTTCCTCGGATCCCTCCTCCTCCTCCTCCTCACCGTCTTCGGACTCTTCACTAGCAGTCTTCTTTTTCTTCTTGGCTCCGTCTTGTTTCTCTTGTAAACATTCCATGACTAAAGTGTCCACTTCTTTTTTCCTGTACATAAATTTCATAGAAGATCAATATCAAACGCGATCTAAAATACGTGAAAGTCGAAGAAAGCTAAGAATATATGTCGGAGAAGGAACGAGGTGGTTCGCTTTTGAAAGGACAGCTCCACACAGAGATCCTCCCTTTTGATCTAGGATACAAGTACACTCACTCTCGAGCCATTCCGACTACAAGAGTGCCTGTTGTATCCATCGACTTAAAATTCGAACCAATACGACACTTGGAAATTTTATATTTTTATTAAATACATAAATGATTGCTGTAATTACCTTTCAGTAAGATCGATGTCGAGCTTTCCCTCGATCTGTAGCCTCACTTTTTTAGCAGACATAGTAGTGAGATCCGCATCCTTAAGGATAGCTAGAAAACACAATAAAAGATTTTTTTCGTACGAGAGACACGCGTAAACAAATTTAATTCTATCGTGAAACGAACTCAATTTCGTTATATTTCAATGTTTAATTGATTTAAAGTTATTAAAAAAATATCAGGAACATCCATTTTGTTAATAGGAAGTGAAGCGGGTCATAAACAACAACGTAGTACTCGGAGATGTGTACGGCGGATGAAACGTGGTTCGATGTAGTTTCCCGCGTCAGGTAGTAAATATTGAACGCAAATGGCCGCTGCTCATTGTGCCGGTTACCGATTCTACGCGTATCGTACAATGTAAAATTTCTGAAAGTAAGATTCGTACCGCGGATACAACGAATCGATCGCATTTCTAAAACTGCTTTCTTTGCATCGGCCGATCGATCGTACAGTACGTCGGACTGTGGAACGATGGAAAATCGCTGAAAGTTCAATCGCGTATGAACGACAGGAGGAATCGGTGGCACGGCTCGGACTTCTTATAGGAATCCGCGAGTAAATACGAGAAACAAAGGGTATCGAGGTCGCGTTAACCATTATTGGACGGCGGGAAAAGGTGTGAGCCACGGAATATTCGAGGAAACCTAATGGGGAAACGTTGTAAGTGCGAGGCTATCGGGCGGGCAAAACTCGATAGAACGTGGCCAGATCCGAACGGGCAGAATAAAAAAAATGGGAGCAGGATACATCGCGGTGTCGTACGAAGCAAAAACACGGTCCATTTTTAAGATTGGTTTTTAGCTTACGACGCAAAAGACGTTATTGAAAGAGAAGAGAAAGAGCGAGATACGAAGCATGCGATGGCTTCAGGCGCGCGCCACCACATCGAGACGCGTCATGCAGCGTACTATCTGTAAGAGAGAGAGACGGGGAAAGCGTTCATTTCTCAGAGAACCAACGAGAAATCGGGATTTTTCCAAGGCGTCGAATAATTTTCAAAAAAATCGTTGGAAAGTTTACACGGCACGTTTTGGCGATGCGGTGCCTCGGCAAGGCTGCACGTAGATGGAAATACGGTTGGCTCACGGTTGTAATGGCCGGCGTGGGGCACGCCACTTCGTCACATACGTACGCGCTAAAGTCGTCATGTCGCAAGAGTAAAGAGTACGATTTCCTATCCATTCCCACACGCGAACGTCCGAACAATTCGCAGCACGAATAATTGCAAAGCCGATTCTATGATATTCGACCGCTGGAGTACGGTAAATCGAAGGATATCGCCACTTACCGGTGATTTCCTTACGAAGTTCTTCGTTCGAGATATCAGCCATGTTCGTGCTTCTCGCTGTGCGTCCTGCTGCTAACTGAACCTACGCCGGCTGCGGACTCCCGTAGCGTCCGTTGGTACACTAGCGCCCAACAGTTAACGCGATGTACGTTGCCTTTATCGAATTTCGAAAACGAATAACTCGGTAACGGGGCGTCAAAAAGGAATACTCTATACACCGAATCGTGTTAGTTTTTTACGAGCTACAAGTTTCTCATGACGCCCCGCTCGTAATTTTGCGATCGAACGAACCTATTTCGAGCTAACGCAAACACGTTCGCGAGATCGTTTCGAAGATGACTGTACCTCAAGCGACCGCTCGTGGCTGCCGGTGGCGTCTACGGTACAGTCGACTCGTCTACGTACTGCCGTTTCTTCCAGAATATACATTTTCAATAATCCATAACATCGTACCCGGACGTTTCAGAGGGATACTATATACACCAAATCGGGTCAGTTTTTTTTTCTCTACAAGTTTCTCATAACGCCCCATGCACAATATTGTGATTTAACAGATCGAAATCGAATTTTTCACGATCCCTCCGCGAATCATCCTGGCGATGACTGTACAAACCGACCACTCCGGGATTCGTTGCGTTGGGTATATAGAGTCGCATCATATGACAATCAGTATACGTTCTACAGATATGCCAAAAAAACTACTATGTAATTTTATTGAACATCGGTCGCTATTCCAGCTTCACCGTGCGAAACTATACTAGTTGCGGATTAATGCCATTCAACCAGTTCCAAATATTTCTCATGCTCTGTCGTCTAATATCGGGCATTTCATTATCTATAATTTTCCAGTGTTACACGTACGAATATTTACGTAGACGTCAGTTCGATATTCGAGTTTGACGACGATACGATCTGTATATTTGCTCCTACACGTAGTAACATTATATAATAAATGTTTATCATATCTGAAAAAATTTACATTCACGTATAATTGCATCCAATCAGTGCGATATTTTAATAGGCCGCGACTGTCGAAACGAGCACTTGGTTTCTTCCTCGCTTTAGTAGGTACAGTAATGGTCAACGCGTTCCCGAAGGATGCTCGCGTGAAGCGATCTTCGGAAACGCATAACTTGTCAACCGTCCACCGTAGAGGAACGCTGTATTCACAAAATCGTGTCAGTTTTTCACGAGGAAAATATCTCTTGGGTAACCCCTCGCTCGATTTTATCGTCCAACGAATCTAACCGAGACCTCTGCTATCTCCGACGCGATTATTCTTGAACCTGACTGTACAGAATCTTTCGGTTCGTCTTTCGACGAATTTCTCGATAAAATTTCATACAAATTTATTTCGAAAACCACGCGAAAATGAATCGAGTATTTTTTCAGAACGAACCACGTGCAGAAATTCTCTTATTCTCACTTAGAAAGTATATTTACCGATGACACGTAGTAATGTAATGTGCCGCCACGGCTATTTGAACGTTTCAAAAGGGCGGTTTCACCTTTACCGGATTCGTTGTCAGCATGCGACGTTACAAAGACTACTGCTTCAAATATATTACGAGAATGAACAATTTCTGTCTACTGTACAACGTCGCGACATGTTCATGCAAATATTCTATGAAACTGCTTCAATAGCCCGACAAGAATTCAGAATATTATCAGTTTTCGTAGAGTACGTATCGTTCTGACTACTTCCGGTGTCACAACAGCGTCTTACGATTAAAGAATTTGTAACAAACATTTATTGGACACAATGTAACACATAATAAAAGTAGTTTTTTAATAATGAAATAGATATCTAATTGTTTCCTAATATCTTGAGTTGCACAGTTGCAGAATTGTCTTGGAAATATTGATATTTTCAGGTTGCACTTTCACAAACATTTCATCGTGCCGCTATCTACCGATATCTGAAGCTACTGCAACTCGTAGCCGTAGGATATTCAAATCAAATGTTGTTCGATAAGTAAACTCTCTCCAGCGGCTTCTGATATTATCCACTACTGATACAGTCTCTTCCACGTAAATCTAAAAAACCATTTCGATTTTTGACATTGCTCCATCGTCCAGTAACGATAAACGCAATTACTGGCTAGAGAGCAGATACTGCAAAGGAATTTGTACATATCTGCAATATGTACTATAAACCAACAGACCTGACCTTTCATCGATTACTACCGAATACGAACGAACGAGTTCGTGATTAAAAAATTTACAGACAGGACGAAGCAATATTGATTTCGCTTTTCTGTGGAATCGGAAGCCCGATATTAGACGGAGCGATCTTCAGCATTTCTGGGTCTCGAGAAGTGACGTGTTTGCCAGTCGACCGTGGGGCAGGCCAGTTCTTGGGGTCCCCCTGTAACATCGTAACATAACTTACGAAGAAGTCAGCTGCCGTTCGACTTTCTCCATGTCGTGCGCTCGCGAGACTGGAGGACCGCGTGTTATGCGGATGACAAGAACAGGTGGAGGTCTCCTCCGTCTCCTCATTCAGTTCTTTAAGATTACGACACTCCTTTCACTATTCTGAATTCCTAATGAAAGGGGAGCGTTGCGGAGTGGCCGCTCCGCGCATCACTGCACCCCACTATTCTTCACGCACTCGTAAACCGCGTACATACAAATCACATTCACCTTTCGGACCCCTTTTCGTCATGATTCTAATCACGTTCTCTATATCTAATACAGATCGCGTGTAAGAAAAACATGTAACAGTCGTAAGACCGCGCGGTCTTTAGGGCTACGATCTTTGCCGGTTCATCGATGATGTCCTATCTTCGACCGGCACGCTGGCCCACGTACCTATTTTAATGAAAGCATGATGAATAATTACTCAAGACGTGTGGTACTTTACTTGACGGAACGAGAAAAAAGAAGCTCCTTTTTATGACAGTAGCATCTAAGATCTATTAAAACATGAAACGTGGTGGACGCTACGTCTCGTGAATAAAGGAACGAAATTGGCATCGTTTATTCTATTTAACAATTGTAAACACGTGCGTAGAAAAATTGTACCATCCTATTGTAAGTTAACCACGACGACGACGACGACCGTTCCTCGTGATTCTGGCATCCTGCTCGTGCGGAGTTCATTGGTACGTTTCCACGACGTTTCGTGCTGCAGCATTCAGTGCAATCGAATCCGAATGACCTACAAACTCATTATCCGCCTCCTGCATACCGCCGAACTGCGCCGAACCTCTTGCGGCTGCATGTTCTCCGAATGAAGGGTCGATTCTAGTCGATCGACAAAAGTGTTTTGCGGTAGTAGCAGTCGGCGTCCGGACGGACTATCTGGTGTCAGATATTTTAAAACTGTAACTCCTACGGAGAATGTGCAAATAAGTTAGCGGACGACAACTACGGCCGGAGATTGATTATCTGATTGCTGCGCAACAAATTCACTTGAATTCCTTTATCACGTGTACTTAATCTACACTCTGTTAATATATCAATAAACAGAAATTCATAAATGAAACAACCTTGACTTAATCCTTTAACAGCACACGTCTGTTGGTGCGAGAGAGCACGTCCACGAATTCGTACGCGTTTAACGTTTCAGCGGGATTGTCTCGAGCGAGTCGCGCGTTCTTATCCGACGTCGTTACGTTAAACGCAATTATCGTTTCATTTTTGTTATAATGCGTTCTATCTTGAGAATGTTCTATTTTTATATCGGCGGAACGACTGATCCCTCTGCCATCTGTGAAGCGGCAAGAAAATTCTTGGTATGCGTCGTCGTGCGGCACGACCTCGACTACGGATTTGTGTGTTCTAGAAGAAACGGACGGTTGTTTCTAATAATGCTCCCAGTGAAGTTTCGTTTAATGTAATCCGATCGAAACGCGAGAATCGTCTGCTGGCGTTCGTGCGTGCACTGTGCGTTTAATATGCGTTAACTGGTGCCAATGTCGCTGTCCGACTGTCCGTTCGTGATTCTTTTACATTTTGTTTGTACATTTCCCGTTGTACGTTCGATGCGGGCGACGATGTTTTCTTATGGTAATCATTTGAAATTTCACTTGGAACTTGTACCAGTTCTGCAACTTTCTTAAGATTCCGCGTGCCTCTGAAAGTTACAGGACCGTACTTACTGATAGTTATTAAATCTGTATTTAAAGAATGCTGAATTTAACACTTGCTTCATTATACAGGTGATTTATGATCTTTGAAGGTTCTGAAGATTTGTAAAGGTATCTGCCTGTATCCAAGAGTCGTGCAACATGCCTTCTGTTTGTGGGGATACAGTTGATATGTCTGGTACAAATATATTAGTTATAATTCGTTGAACCAGGATTTGTGACTGTTACTTACTGCTGATAATTTTCAGCTGCTCAGTCAACTGTTGTAGAAGGTATATCTAGTACAGACAGTGTTGGTACACACAGTGATATTTCTGGCCATACTACAGTTTCTGGAAGACCCAGAATGGACGTGGCTTGTGTTTTGGACCTGCAACAATCGGAACATTTAGCTCAGAGGAAACGGGCTTTGGAAGAAGTCAGACAAGCATGTAACTTAGTCAATGCTAACATGCATCATATTCAGGTAGAAATTCTACGAACAAGCTGTACTTTTAGTCTCTTAGGTACGATTCTTTAGAATTGTGATTTTCCAGTTTGAAAAGCTGGATTTTGGAGAGACAAATGTATTGGATACATTCTATAACGCGGATGTAGCTGTTGTAGATTTGAGCGTACAATTGCAACAGTCTGCTCTGTTCTATCACCTCGGTGTTAGGGAAAGTTTCGGTATGAAAGAGAATATTCTGTTACACAATGATGTGGACACGGAAACAACGATCAGAATCAAGGTAGAATCGTATTGCGTCAACGTGTAACTTGTGTCTCACGTGAATAAATCATTATCGTTAAAACTATAATGTGCAGTTATCATGCGGCAACTATACATTTGTCTCGTATCGTCTGGTGGAATGTGGTTCGTGCGTAGCGACAAATCCAGCCACGAGCAGAATTACCGGGGAGGAGGCGATAGATCCGAAGCAGCACCTTACGATAAAGCTTAAGAAATTGTTTCAAGACGTCGAAGTACAATCCAAGTATGTTTTGACCTTTCGTTCCTTTGTTATTGTGTGCATTTTTAGAGATAAGAAATAGAAACATTGTTTCTTTGACTTATATCATTGTCAAGAAACTGTTATCTCCTTATCTTATCGTTCCACATTTGAGATTGATTTATAGAGATCATACTAAAAAGTATATAATGCGCTTGAACTCGCCAATGAACCGTCTTGATACACGAAATTCGACGACTTTTCTAGAGCACATATGAAAGAGAAGTTCCTGGCGGATTTACGGAAGGCTCGTGAGACCTACTCGGGTGAAGAACTTTCGAAAGCTTTGAACAACATGCGGAAGCGATTAGACGACCCGAACGTTTTATCCGGGGAAGTCGTTCTAAACGTGCTCATCTCGTTCCGCGAGATACAGGTATCGTATCGATCAGACGTATTTCTAACGACGTTTACATGATAAATTAATATCTAGGATTACGATGCGATGGTGCAGTTAGTCGGTGATCTGAGAACGATACCGACTCACAAGAATTACATCAACACACCGGCCATTCGGTATTTATACGCGTTCGCTTTGAATCGACGAAATAAAGAGGGTGATAGAGAAAGGGCGTTGAAAGTTATAGAAAAGGCATTGGAGAAGAAAGAGAATCATGTCCCTGATATGTTGTGCCTTTGCGGGAGAATATATAAAGATAAATTCGTAGAGAGCAGGCATACCGATGAAGAGAGTTTGAAAAACGCGATTCATTGGTACAGGAAAGGTTTCGAAGTACGTGATCGTTTTGTTCGCGGAAGGAGATCGAATTCCGGGATGTACTCATTTGGAATTTGCTTATTCAGGTTCAACCGAATGAGTACGCTGGAATAAACTTGGCAACGTTACTGGTGATAGCAGGAAACGAGTTTTCAAAGAGCGAGGAATTGCAACATATAGGCATGGTGTTGAACAATTTGATCGGGAAGAAAGGTAGCTTGTCTAGCTTGAAGGATTACTGGGACGTCGCCACGTTCTTTGAGATCAGCGTACTTGCTGCGGACTATTCGAAGGCTATTCAAGCGGCCGAGTGTATGTTCAAGCTGAAGCCACCAAACTGGTATGTGTCAATGATTATTAAAGCGTGAAGCAACTTGGAGAAAAATATATGTAGATATCAATTAGATCGTTCATTGAACAGGTACCTGAAATCGACAATAGGCAACATATCGCTGATAAATAGGTTTCGTAAAAAGAATGAGGAAGCCGAGGTTTCGCCAGAGGAGCAAATATTTAGTTTTTGGATGGACTACTTTGTCGAAGCTACGAAATCGGAAGTTGGAGATAGTATACGGTTTCCAGTAAGTTGATAAATGGAATCGTTCTACAAAGGATCCGGTTTCCAATTCGGGAGACTATGGCTTATAATATTGTGTTACCAATCCAGCTTACTTCTGTACGTTTTGGGTCAAAGTAAGAACAATATATAAAACTGCCCATAGTGCAGGTTCTTAGACTGACTTTAACTGAATCATAGACTTTATTACGATACACCGTAGTAAAGAGAAAAGAAGAAGAATAAATCGGTCACCGATCTCTCTATTCCAGCTATTAGTGTTGGAGCCGACGAAGATCTTGATGCCAAGCTACGTAAACGTTAATCTAGGAGCGGAGGAGAAATCGGTGCAAATATGGAACTTGTGCCTGGACTATATGAAGAGCAGTTGCAAACAGGTTCACGATTGGTTGTTCACCGCGAACATGATACGCAGCGTGAGTCTGTACAAAAGAGACGAACGCTGCCTCTTTTTATACGTCCATCAGAACTCGGACGATTTCCAAATGTATTTCCCGTCCGTTCAATGCAGACAAAGGTTTTACGATCTGATTCTGGAGATGACGAGAGATGAGGAGGGTATGGTTGCCGATTTGGACGCGTACATGACCGACGACAGAATGAAGGTGTGTGTGAATGATTCTCAATTATTTAATCATCTTTATCTGCAATGCGTTGACACCTACCGCTCGACAGTTCGAATACGAGCTGGACGATCAAAACAAGCGAATAATGCTTGGCAAAGGAACATACGGTGTCGTCTTTGCTGCTCGAGACTTGAACACACAAGTTAGAATTGCCGTGAAGGAGATCCGCGAGCGAAATCTAGGGGACGTACAACCTCTACACGAAGAAATTAAATTGCACAGTCAGTTGAGGCACAGAAACATCGTGCAGTATTTGGGTTCCGTGAGCGAGGATGGATATTTCAAAATTTTTATGGAACAAGTACCTGGAGGTAAACGAGGAACATTAGACAGTACGAGGAACAGTATACAGTCACTGATCTCGTATTGGTTTTTTTTTTTAGGTAGTCTTTCTGCTTTGTTAAGGTCGAAGTGGGGCCCTTTGAAAGAAAACGAATCCACGATCGCGTATTATACTAAACAGATCTTAGAAGGTCTCAAATACCTCCACGATCAAAAAATTGTTCATCGAGATATCAAAGGTAATATAAGCTTTATTATACTGGTATATAACGCATTGCAATGCTGTCTATTTTGCAGGTGATAATGTTTTAGTGAATACGTACAGCGGCGTTGTAAAAATCTCAGACTTCGGCATGTCGAAACGACTGGCTGGTTTGTGCCCGAGCACCGAAACGTTTACGGGAACATTGCAATACATGGCACCGGAAGTTATCGACAAGGGACAACGTGGATATGGAGCGCCCGTAAGTGATACGTTATCATTTTACATATAATAAAAGAATAATGATATGATTTTCGATATAGGCAGATATCTGGTCTCTTGGTTGCACAATCGTTGAAATGGCAACTGGCAAACCACCGTTCATCGAATTAGGCTCACCTCAAGCTGCAGTTTTCAAGGTAAGCCGTTAATTCAGAATGATAAAATTAGATACATATAAAATGATCGTTTTTCTACAGGTTGGATATTACAAAATACATCCGGAAATTCCATCGGAATTATCGGAGAGAGCAAAGAATTTTATACTGCGCTGTTTCGAGCCAAACCCGGACATAAGAGCAACCGCGGCGGAACTATTGGAGGATCCATTTTTAAACGAGTATGCGATACTTATAAATTGGATTGTTATGTAAACCAACAGATAGAACAGTAGTCTTTGATGTGCGCAGGAAGAAGAAAAGTAGTCGATTGGTGGCACCGCCGGATTTCAGTAGAAGCATTTCGGTACCCGCTGACAGGATCGAACGTCTGGGGAAATCGGACAAAACGAATAACAATCATATCGTTTCGGCTTCGCCGATTCATACTTCGCAGTCGGACGATAGGTAACGTACACGTTTTATAATTATTGTCATGTCGTTCCATTTCATTGATGAACCTCAACTTCGTCGTCTCGTTGCTACAAGCGATTTCGCATCTTTGTTCGTTGTGTCGTAATACATTACACTATTCTACGCAAACAAACGTACATCGGTGAGACAGCACGCGTAGTCGGTAGCATATTTTCTCGTGTAATAAATCTGAATACATTGCACGCAATGTATTTCTAATATTTTTTATACATTTTTCTTTAATTTCCCAATAAATTTTTTATTGTCAATATAATCAAACAAGTGTTACGTGCAGCGGAGGGTTGACAAAGTCTAGCCCGCTAAGGGAGCGCAGTCCAGCACACCTACTGTCTCCCATCAGAATGCCCGCTGCAACCCTTTCTTTTAACAGGTATGGTACTAACGTTATAAAACATGGTTAAAGCCGTCCGTAAAAGAATTATAACAAATAATACGTATTATCAAATAAAATTAGACGCAGCACAGTCTGTTACAATTAAGAAATTAACCGTGATTAACTTGATTAATTTATTAATATCTGCAAATCCTTGTGTTCCTAAACATTCATGTGGGCAATGGAGCTTCCTGTACGTAATCGTAATGCATATAATTGATCATAATTCAGCGAGAAGGAAAAGGCGAGATCTCTAATCGACTTCGATCCAGTGATAATACGAACCGACGCTCACTAAACAATTGATCAAAAACTTGACTTATATAACACACTTCGTACGCTTTTCGATCTCAAACACGTAAGATAATTCTCGTGATCGTATACTCGTTTGTGTAACGTTAGCGACTGCCCTATGTATTCAGGTTTATTTCAATCTAGAGTATCAGGAAACATTCTTGCCCTTGTGACACGTGTATAACACAAAATTTTCGTAAAACTTGAAGATGCGAGTCCGAACAGTATGTGAAAAGTGCGATGTTGTATTTTTAGTACGATAGGAAATACACCGTCCATAGAAACCAGCGAGTCCGATACAGCGGGAGCTTCGATGACTAGAAGGAGTTCCTCCGGCGGCTTGTTGTCGCCGGAGGTTGAATTAGGAGGTGAATGATCGTAATTAATTTGCTGAGGCGTTTAGAGATTTGGATCTCGATGTATCTTTTATAATCCCGACAGGTCAACCCGGCCAAAAGACTGGCGAGGAACAAGAAGGTTTCTATCTATTGAAGAAAGATAGTCAAAGAAGAATGACGTTAACGAGAGTCCTCACTCAGGACGAGGCGAAGATATGCGAAGTATGGATGAGAAGCATACATCAAGCAGAGGGACAAACCGTTCTGAAGATGGTAATTATTGTTGTTTACGCTGGTGCGAATATCATTTTAATTAACGCGGACTTCTTGTTCTCAGAATCATTTAGTATTATTAATGCGCGCATTGAGAGACTACATCGCGGAGCAAAATCAGGAAGTAATCGTGACGGCCATCAGAACTCTGAAGGAGGAACTAGACTTTGATTCCACCGCGATTAATCACCTCAATGTGGCTATTTGTCTGTTTCAAACGGCGGTAAACGAGGTTCTACGAATGCACAGTATCAAGCCTCATTGGATGTTCGCGCTGGACAATTTAGTGAGAAACGCGGTTCAGACCGCTATCACTGTCCTCTCTCCGGGTAATGAATTTTCTTCATAATCGTCTTACGAAATAGACGTAATTCTAGCATGACGATGTTCAGATTACAAGAGACGTGTGTCAACTCTAAAAATATCTCAAAGAAAGTCGTCATCAGTAATAAAGAGATCTCTCTTATGAATCTCGATTCAGTGAAGCAACTGCTTTTCCTGAGTGCTAACAGGTTGTTGACTTCTCGTTTTCAGAACTCGGTGCCAATTTACTTGGTCAAGATCGCATGCAAACCGGTGGCCAGGGTCCGGAGGAGGGGTCCACGTCCGGTGTGTCGAACTCCGTCAATTCCGTGAAATCGCAGAAAACCGGCGATTCTTTAGATAACAAATACTGGAAAGAGTACCGGGATCAGATGGGAGAATTTAAAATGGAAAACATGAAACTGCTTCAAGAGTTGATCGAGAATCAAAGGTCGTATCAAGCCCTGTTACAACAGGTTCTCGAGGAGCAAAGAGCGCAGGTCAGCACCCTGACCAGGCTTTGCGAGAATATAAACAGACGTACTATGAGACAAGAATCGGGATACAATTCGACGGTACTTGGAAATACACCGTCGCAACAGGTTTCGTTGATAGTCACTGACACCCCTTCGAGTACAACTTCGTGTATCGATCAAGCTCTGGTTGATTGGCTGAAGTATACGGTTCAGATAGATGAAATGACGATAGAAAGGGTAAGATTGAGACATTGACCTGTTTTTTTTTTTTTTTTTTTTTTTTTTTAATGAAATGAACATTGCATACATTGTTGAATTGATTGTTATAGTTCGTATATGAGCAATATACATTAGAAGATGTATTGAACCACGTTACACGCGACGATATTCGCAGACTTAATCTCAGGTAAATATAAAATTTTCCTGTCCATTACGTAGGTAATTATCAAATAAACTTCAAATTCCGTTACAGAGGTGGAATCGAGTTGAGGATATGGCAGGCTATATTGAAGCACCGAGAGAGTTGTCCATTATAGTGATCGGGACGAATTTACATCGTGGTCGAATTCATGCAGGGTAAAATGTTCGTAGGACGTGGCTACGTTAACAAAATCATTCAGATATTTAATTTCAATTGAAATGCCTATGGTCGTTTGTCAGAGTATTGTCGGTGAGGTGAGTTTACGCGGGGAGTTTCAAGTGCACAATGATATTATTAGTTTATCTCGTAGTTCCTAAACGTAGAGTATTTACGGGTTACAAAACGTGTACATACGACAAACTCGGTTTCGAAAGTCCACACACAAGCCCCCTGAAAGTGTATTTAACATTTTTTACATTGTATAGAAATCGATCAATATTGTTACACCGTTTTATGCAGAGTTATGTATACTTGGAAACCACGAATATCACTCGTTGATCCTGCCAAGTTTAAACAAATTACGATTGTTAATTGTCTAAAGAGATTTAAATTCGACGTCTGTACGAATTTTCGATACGGTTACTGCCAGATTAAAATTAATAACATTAGGAAAATACGTCCGCGCAAATTTTCGTGTTCCAAGAAGCGTAGAACGGCTTCACTTTGCATAATCATCGAAAGAATCGTTTAATTAACTGATGATCAGACAAACCTAGTGCCTTAAAGACCAGTGTAATAGTACAAGAGAAAGATATATATTTATTATTTGCAAATTGTATGAATGTTTTCTATATTTTTGAGAAGAGATATATCTAATCGTGGAAAACACTTGTTTGAAGAGTTCTTGTGTATATATTACAAATTGCCTCTTATCAATTGTTTGTTAACTGTACGCCTCAAGATTTATGAAATTTTTGTAGGTAAGAATTTTTACATAGTCGCTTTGTAAACGAGTTTCTGTTTTCCCGAAGAACTCGTGCTTCCTCTGTACACTTGGCGTAGAATAGGATCGCGTTTTCTAATACTTCCACTGATTCAACTTCCATCGCAATAACGCAGCATAATCAAGCCAGTCAATTAAAATCATGTGCCTAATTGTATCAGGGATATGCGTGTCGTTTATATTGAAGATAGTTAGGAGATCGAATATACCTGCCACCCACAGATATTATATAATTTAAAATTCGCGTCGAAAGTAATTTTCTACTTGGATCTCGGTCCCCTAATTGTTTTCATAGCATATTAACAATATAGAATCTATCTGTTTGTTCGAGAATGGTTTCGAAATATTTTCGATTGAAACGATTAACGGATCTCGTCTCGAACGCGTACGCGTCGCTTTATCGTTAAAATGTTTTTTTCACGTTGCTGTTTTCACTCATTGTCAGTGTACTCAATAAGTTTAAATAAAAAGTGCTGCATCAGCGATCTGACAATGGCAGTTTCTCATTTCCCGCCCTTGAAGTCACGGCGAGGAGAAAAGGAAAGGTGGTTAATTGAAATGAAGAGTAAACGAAAAGTCTCCCGGAGGCGAAAGGGTCGAAACCCGGGGGATCGAGTACGTGATCGGTTCCTAGGGACTCGCTCTTTTTTTCAAAGTTCCTCGCGCATTGATATGGATGAGGCGTCCTCGCTTTATCCGATCGCGGTGTCCCGTTTAAAAGATAAGCCAAATAGATTCGCAGCTCGTCGACGCGGGAGGATTCTCGCTGCCTCCCTGACTCTGTCTTCCTGCTATCGGGATTATCCTGATCGATAAGATCAGTTCAGAACGTTCATCGAGCTTTCATCGCGGCATACGGTTTTTATTCAGTTAATATATATGAATCGAACGTCGAATTATCAATTATTACGTGAAACTTGTGATGCAAATGGGCTAGTTGTCAGAGGAGAGAACGGCTTTGCGATCGCATGTGCGCAGACGGCTGAAATTTTTCAGGGAAATGAATGCACCGGGGCAAAATTGCAAAAGTTTCGGACATAGCCCTCGACTCGCGGCGTACGAGGGTCGGACCTATTCATTTGCACTACAAAAAAACCGGCTTATAAACGCCCCCTCGAAAAAACCAGCCGCTTATTTTCGAGACCCTCCTACTTCCTTTTTCCATTCCCTCTCCGCTCATCGACTTTCGTTCCGATGCATTTTCATGCGCGTGCCGTATGAAAAATTTAGGGGTCGAAACGCGCCGGGGTATACTCTCGACACTTTCTATTCTGTTCGTTCGATCGAGTGGTTGATGCGACTTATAAAAAATCAGTTGTTAACTGATAAAAGAATCAGACACGAGGAACGCCAGGGTGGATATTTGCTCGATCCTTCTGCCGTTGGAAATCATAAAATCGAGGGTGGTCCGTGCCGAACCCCTCAATTAGCAGTTATTATTCCGGTGAATGGTCGAAATACGTTTAGGGATAATTCGGAATGAGTCGAAATTGCAAATAAAGCAAATCAAACAATCGGCGCGGCGCGCCGCCGTCCCGACGCAATCGCAGCGGTTCGGGGCGAAAGGAAGGGGTTGCGTGTCGGCCACGATCGGGATACAAATGCCAAGCTGTCTGGCCAGCTTTTCCTCTCTCTATCTCAGCCGTTTACACCCACTCCCCTTCGCCGTTTAATTAACTAACTGTGCTGGGAACTAAAGAGGATCCACGATTTTCGAGCCGGGAGGCTTTCAGGATTGCCCGGAATAATCCATTTGGCCGAGTGAAACACTAAATAAGATTATCGCGTCGGAGGAAAAGTGAATGAGAATTCAGGATCGTAATTCGTTTTCGAGTTACGCGGTAATTAAGAAACAATTGGGTGAAGCTAATTTTTTAAAATGATTTCGCCCGTCCTGATCTCTGTCGACGATTATTTAGTTTCGTGAGTCGTCTCGTTGCCTGGAAAGTATGTGGAAAAAAAGAGAGACGGTCGATGGAACAATTAATCTGGCCGGAAAGCGAAATCATCCTTTTCGCTTTCTTCGAGGCAGAGTAAGAGAAGGAGGAACTTATGAACGTTCTCTCCGGGGATTATGGCGAGAACAATGAAGGCTGACTCGCCATCTCCTCGTTTTCACGGAGTGACACCTTGCTCGCCGAGACTAATTACTTTCGGCTTAAAATCCTTAATTTGTTGCTGAAAGGCCGGAGCCCAGCCCCAGTCCAGATAAGATCTTTCCGCGGCGTCCGGTCCCTCGCTGTACGTTTAAACAGATAATTCTTTATCAGACAAACCGTTTGAATTACCCGACGATGCGTACTCTCGTGCAAAACAAGAAAATTATGTCAATTTAGAAGATGTGATTTAAATTTAAATCGCAAATTAATCCTACGCGAATGCGAACACCTTCTAAATCACAAGCTCGCGCGAAACGAAACCGATAACCGCTTAGGAAATTTTATTGCCTCTATAATAAGACGAATTGATAACAATTATACCGGGCTAATGTATTTGCATACCGGGAAGGCGCGAATGCCCTCGTTTCCACCCTCGAAGACGCAACCGTGAGAGACGAGCTTGCACCCTTTACGCGATTATTCATCTAAACTGCTTGATTAAAAAGCGTGTATCGTCGAACTGAGAACGTTTGAACAAAAATGTGAGACGGTTGGAAATTAGCCAGCGACTCTTGGGCGAAGGAACTGATATTGAATCGTTGCACCCTCGCTCGTCTCATAACCGTAGGTCTACAACGAGGCAACAGATGTACCTGATACATATTCATATCGTGCCTCGATTTCGCGTTACTGTTATTGTTATTATTCTCAGGGAATGTTGGGAGTCAGTTCGTCGTAATGGCTGGCACATCGGCCAAGGCTACTGTCATTCTTCTCGCAGTTTTCCTTCGAATCAAAATCTCCGAGCTCGTCTGCAGAAAAGTTCCATGTGTCCGATTTCTACAGAAGAATTTTCTCAAAACGAATTAGAATTTTTGGGAACGGAAAACTGAGCATCCAAGTCTTAGGACTGAAGAAGTTTGTGTAAAATGGAAATGGGTGTTCTCCATAAGACGGGCGAATTAATGGCAATTAATGACATCCGTGTTTGCCGGCCGGGTGTACACAAAGGGCTGTTTGCTCGACCAGACCAGAAGCACGTGTAAATTTCCACTCTCGTTCTCGGAACAGAGAAGGAGAGAGAATTGGTGATCGAGGGTCCTTGAACCGCGCCGCGCAAACAGACCCCTTAATGAATTGGTTGCGATTCGAAAAGAATCCAATTACCGCGAGCCAGCCTTCGGATTCCTTCTGTAATCGACGCCTTCCCCCCGATGCTAGCTGCATGTTTGTCTACGCCCGTGATAAATCTCTCCAGCAATTTCCAGATGATGAAGAATTCTTTGGATACTGGGCCATCCGGCTTTCGTTTCGTTCTCAGATTTCAGGAATAATAGAGTATATGCTATTCTGCTAATTAATCATTTTGTCTGTTTCATTTGCTATCTCAAAAATAAAAGTTCAACGAGGGGAACCATATAAGGTAAAGGAGGTAGTACCTGGACACTTTTGAACATAAATTTTTTATAATGTTTTTTTACTACGAAATTTAAGCATAGTACATGAAAACTTATCATCTTAGCAGATAGCTGGGATCTCATAGTCATATTTAAGAAAAAAAAACCTTCTTTTGTAATATATGTATTAAAATAATCGCATTAAAAAAAAATTGCTGTCAACCGCAGTAGTAGGACACATTTAATCTGAACGAGTGGTGTAGTAGGACAAGTATGGAATCAGAACTGGGACAATATTATTATGACGCCTCTAAGCGAATTGAGAAACAGTTGGATTAAGAGAAAGGGTTGAAAAGTTATGAAAATACACTAAATCATTTATTGTGAAAAATATATCATACGTTTGAATGGNGAATTTATCCAGGTATTGCAGCGCGATTAATTAGTGAGGGGCTAAACCTGGACAGCCACTGCCGTCTTGTCCCACTTGTACGTATTAAGTTTCAAAAGGGATTGTAAACTTGGACAGTAAATTATTAAATACATATCTATTATGTCCAAGTACTGGTTCCAAAATTCGTTTTGTCCCAGTACTACTTCCTTTACCTTAGCATTAATAAATCATTTTGTCTATTTCATCTACTATCCTAGAAATGAAAATTGAAGTATGTAACACCACTCTACAGTAAATCGTTAAAAATGGAGGAAAAATAAGTGGCAACCTCCTGCACTTTCTTAAAGCCTTTAATCTGTACGATCTATTGTCCCATGTATGGAACCCCAACTGAGAATTAGCGTTCCCTCGTCGCTGGATGAATTATTACTTCTGTATCGGGAAGCCCAACCGATAATGCGATTCCACCGCGAAATTACGCACCGTGATGATGGAATCGGCCTCGAGAGATTCCCTGGAGAGGAACCGGTAAGGGGAACGGAAGAATGGAAGACGACAGGAAGAGAGACGTCCGCGTTATCTCGAGCGTGTCGCTCTTCCGAGAGGCCAGGCGAAAAACTTGAAGAAAACCGAACAGCATCCTCGACGGTTTATGAATTATGCATGGCCCGCTGAAACTTTGCGGATATGTACTCGACTACATAAGTATGTACGTAAATGCTTCTCTTGAAATCTGTGGAATTCTATCAGGGAGATTTTAATCACTTGACGAATCTTCTTATCGTATTTGTTAAGCTCTGTCGAACGATTTGGTAAATAATAAATAAAAATTGTATGTAACGATACACTTTATTTTTCTCCTGCAATTTCCTAAGTCCCAGATCAGACGTTTTCGAAAATAGGGGCTGGTAAGTGGCGCCACGTGAGACTACCCCCCGTTGTTAACGTTACAGGGAATAGGGTGTCAAGACAACGTTTTGGAAAACGGGACAGAATCGAAGTAAGTGTACATTATTACGAATCGACCGAATTGAAAATTTAACGAAAACTGAATTCTATTCGCGGTTCTTCATCGTGGTTTATGGGACGTAAACGACGTGATGAGAAACGGAATGGTCAGAGTGAAACGAGGGAAAAAGTGGCGAGAGATAGAGAGCAGGGGTGGGTTTCGGTTTGAGTTTGTTTTTATCACCGATAGATACGATTCCTATTTTCTTTTCTCGACGGATGAAAACGTTTTGTGAAGGAAAGAGAACCGTTAGCATCGTCACGAGGCGACAGCCCCGGTTGCTAGGGGTTGTTTGTCCAGACGACGACCGCGCCTTCGACGTTAATTGCCACGTGAAAATGACAGCGATCGACGGTTTAAGTGTGCAAGAGACACGTTTACGATTATTATTGGAGTTTTTCAAACACGAAGTCGTTTCATAATTCGTCGCTCGATCATGAATCAGACGGAAGATAGTTGGCTGTATATAGAAATAGAAAAGCCAAGGGACTATCAACACGGATTCTTCCTTTTGCTCCATCTTATAAGCTCCGTCGAACTTCAAAGTTCCATCAGCGAGGGGATCGTTCGATCTGGTTGTTCCCGGGAGCCGTCGCGACAAGAGGACGTCGTAGTCAAAGTGTTTCCCTTTCGACGGAGGGGCTGACTGACGCGGGAGGAAAATTCGCGAACGAAGAAAGGGAGATCCGACGTCAGCAGATGGAACGATCCGGTTTTCCTCGACGCGACGGCTGCGCGGGTATTAGGAAGCTCCTCCGGTGCACACAAGCTTCGAATAATATCCGAATATTGGAGGTGGAAGTACCGCACCGGCTCGCTCGTAAACCGACGCGGATATGAATGCGGATGACTCAATTTTCCACGGCTGCCGCGTTAGCGTTCAAGACGTGACGGTTTTGTCAACTCTTTTCCTCGTCGCTGAAACTGGCTCCAAAATGATTGCGTGCAACATAATTTGCCTGATCCTATTCGGAATTATTTTACGTTCGATACGCGTTGTCATTCATCGTACAGTAGTCTTGGTCGATGGAGCGTGTGGACGCGGTCAATGCATCTTAATCAAAACGATTCTCTTAGATGGTTATTGAAAAATGATGAGAAACAGCTGTCTTAAAAATGTTCTGTCGGAAATAAAAGGAGTGTACAGAACAAACTTGGATCTACTCCGAAGTATCTGGCGCGTGTACAGGGTGGATGTTTTCCAGGAGTGTCGTGAGACTCGCAGCAACTGTCCCAGCGGCTCGCGATGTCGGATTCGGAGGGTAGCGCGGGGAGCGTCCGCGGCTCGGAGAAGTCGTGCACGCGCGAGGGAACACTGCCGAATCGGCGAAATTCTAGCGGCGACAAGCTCGAGGAATTCGAGAAGCTGCTACAGTCGATGCTGCCCTCCCGCACGCCCTCGCAAGAGGAGGATGAGGAGGACGAGGAGGCCGAGGAGAACGAGACCGACAAGAAAATAGGTGCGTCTTGTGTATGAAAAATATTTTTTAAACCATGGGATATCTAATTATGTATATCGATCAATCCAGATGAGTTTGCATCAAAACTATGTCAAGTCCAGATTGAATCACTGAATCTTGTTCGTTTGCGGAACGTTAATTCGGTGTTTTCGTTGTAAAGAGATTTGAAAAGGCTGAGAAAAGGAGGAGGACTCGACCGAGGGTTGAACCTTTGACCCCTTAATGCTTTCAGGGGTGAAACAAAACCGTGCCGCTCCAATTATCGCTTAATTTTTTTCTCGACGAAATGTACAATTACCCCAGACCCTCTCTACCGTCGAATTCAGAATTTGTGGTGTACAAGACTGAATCGTACTAAAGACTGTGATCTTGCGAGACGTTTCTGAAGAGTAGGAAAAGAGACTTGGGAGATTTTAGATTCTTTCATTGCGACACTTTCGGTGAAGCACTATCCCAAAATCCGAGGGGAGTGTTTGGCCTCCTCGGAAGGCGAGACAGGGCGCAGCTAGAGTTAAGACGACGACTCTTCACCGGCCGCCGGTCTCTTCTAGGAGATGCGCGATGGGGAAAAGAAGGCTCGTCTGGCGAATCCCTCTGGCCCTAGACGAAACATCGGGCTCATTCTAGTAAAAGACGGAAGGGGGGAGAGGCCGAGGGACGCAGTTTCAGTGGAAACTCAGGTAACCTGTTGAGAGGGCCTGGAGTAGGCGAAAATGGAGAGCTCGGTGCAGCTTAACTCGGAGAAATTTCCCAGACGCTCGCCAAGGGCATTCCCAGGGAAAGTAGCTTGGCTGGAGACGCGAAAGGGAATCTCGCGACGACGACGGAGGAAAGAGAAAATTTCTCTGGCCCCGGGGATTAAGTTCCGCCTCGGGGCCGAAACGTCTCACCGGCCTCGTCTCTTTACTACCCATCCCGCCTACGCCGCCATCCCTGCCAACGGTTTCTATTCTTATTCCACCGCTTTCCACCGACGACGAACCACGCGGCCAACCAGATGCTAACGCGAACTTTAATGATCTTTTTCGTGGCTCGGCTGAGTCGGCCGGAAATTAGCGAGCGGGAGAACTCTCGCTCATGCCGGCAGCCATCGGCCTTTGTATTCCTTCCTCGTTGTCGTGGGATCCGACGGCCAACCACGAGAAAGATTTTTTTCGTACCTCGCACTCTCCCTTTCCCCTTTTTTCTACTTTTTTTTCTCCCGTGACAAATACTCGAGAATGGCCCGCCGGAATTACTTGCAAAATATTCCCGCCGCGCGACGACTGACTCCTCTCTGAACTCAGACACTCTCAAACATCATTGTTCATAACATTTTTTTAAGTATTCGATATGTTAAGGAACAGAGATAGACCAGTACTGTTCGTTCTCTTTAACCTCTTAGGCACGGCTAAATTTTGCTTCTCTGCTTCTGCTTCTCTGTACGGCGGAGTTCAACGCGAATTACGTGTAAATGATATGACACTGCAATGTGTGACGGATAATGCTTTTCTTTACACGAGTACATTGGAATCAAGTGTTTGATGATTAAATTATAATTTTTCTTAAATATATGATACACGCATTTTAACTTTAACAATTTATTCTAATAATTAATAATACAATTCAGTATGATACGTCTTAAAACGCGGTACAACACAAATACCCGCGAAAGCCACTATAGTGGCGCATAGTGCCTAAGAGGTTAATTATGCATCGGGGAAAACGCGATCCCCGGAGATCGCTGGAAGCAATCGGACCTAACGAACGTTAACCCTATCAGAAGGGATTAAAAATTATTCCACAAAGGCTACGGGCAGTCTGATCGACATGTGCGATCGGAATTAGGAAATCGAAATATTAATTGGGCGTGACAACGGAAGTACTGGCCCTGGGGCACCGCCGACAGTAGAACAGAGTGTATGTGATCAGACGTCGTACTTAGAATCTGCTATCCTTCATTTGATCGTAAAGTGGAATCACTCTTTATTTGACGAGAAGTTTAATACCTCAACAGGTGAGGAGCAATTTAAGCTTGAAGATGAATCAACCATTTAGTGGAACACTGTTCTCTTAAATTCAATTCATACTACACTTGAGAGAATGTTTTTCCGTTCACCATCAATCACTATTCCTTCCTCTCCCGAATCGAAACGGTGGAACGTGCGTATGCACCGAACGAAGAACAGGCTGGCAAACAATTTGCAGCGGGACGTAATGATTTTGGACGTTATCTACCCCCGGGCGAAATTTGTCCACGGCCACCCCCGCCATTCGTCATCCGCGAGTTTTTCTTCTTATCGCTTCGGGAGCGGAAGATCGCTTCGCCGGAAGTCGAGGTCTCTCTCCCGAGACTCGCCCTTTTTGCTCGGCGCTGACACGCTGGAAATTGATGACCGCCGTGGCTATTTCGAGCGAACGGCTCTCGCGTCTTCGATTTCTTATTTAGACAGCCGTTTTAAGCCCGTGCCGTTTTTCACGCGCTTCTCGCTCATCGATACTCGCCCTTGACGTACCATTCACCTTCCCCTTTCTCAGTTTCCCGCTACGGGTAGCCAACTATTAACATGAACTCGATTTCGGGAAGGTTTCAACGTTTAGAGAAACTCGCTGAACTTTTGACACTGACGTATCAATAATCCTGTCAATTCCACGAATCGTCGTTCCTCTCAACCGAAATTCAGGTTCTTATACGTCGATTTAAACGATCTGTGTCTGATCTCCTTCGAGAAACAATGAAAACAAGTGTATTTTGTACGATTTTCGAGCGATCTGGAAACAGAAGGCGTCTAGAGGACAAATAATAGTTGAAAGAACTCGACCCTAATCGAACCGGTGGCCTTTGAGGGAGTGATGCTCGCGAAACGCATCTGGCGAATCCGATGAAAGTTTCTTTGGGGTGAAAAGAGCTTAGCGTCGTGATCACGGGGGTGGTAAGACGTCACACGCGCGTATGTGACGGACTGACGGACGGTATTATGATAATCCGAGCTATATTGACACTCCCGTGAAGATTCCTCCCACTAATAAGATGCGGTCTTACGAAAATACGAGGGTAGCAAGTAGGATTGCCTGCCTCGATCTCTTCATCTTTTGTTACACGACGTTTTCAACGTTACGTTTCATATAATTAAGGTAGTTATCACCTAAATGGACACTATTCGAGGTAATCACGAGACTTTCAACAAAATTAATTAAGCACCTGATAGATACTTTTGCCAAGTTTCAGTGCATTTTACCAAATAGTTTCTGAGTTATGCTTAATCAAATTTGATTACTTTTCGATATGTTTAGCATAAGCTTAACTCGAAACATATAGAAATTTATTATCACTATGTCCATGAG